TACCAAAACGCTTTATGGGCACTCTACTACAAGCGGACTAAGGCCTCATTCCTCTACCCAGCCCTGCTCATATGATGAAAATGCTATTCCCAAGCCACCATGAATACTGGGATTTTGATCACCCCTGTCTCAGCTGACTCACAGGTGGAGGTTCCACACAGGGAGAGGCAAGCTGAAGCGACCGGGAGCTACCACCCTCTCTGCCTAGCACCTGCTCGGGATATCACTTTGCAGAAGCAGGCCACTATCACTGTGCCTATCTCCTGGACGGTAGCACAGAGGTTCTCCAAAGGAAGAGGCAAATGAGGAGGATGAAAGCTTTTCATGTCTTACCCAGAGTAACTTTATTTGGAGCAAAACACAGAGAATTCCATACATAGTGGTACTGTTGAAAACAATGGAGATCTTGATAGAAAGCAATTTAGTGGGTGCTGGTGGCTTCATGATACTGCTAGTAATAAGCAAAATAGCAGAACATTCAGAAGTTTAACAGAAAGAATCAGGGAAAGAAACAAGCAAGAAAAGCCCTCCTGGTATCATGGTAAAACATGGTGGCTCCAAAGGCTGTGTACATGTTCCTACTCAGGAACAATAAAAACAGAACATGGGTCGAACTTGCAAATACTCCCCAAGCTGCACACAAATCCATCAACAAAAGGTAGAAGCCTTACTGGCAAAAGAGGCTTAAGGACAATCTCTGACCAAACACTGGCTGAAAAATAAGCTATTCTGATCCAGGGGAAATTATTATTAAGTCAGGCTTAATAGTAAAATCACATGCATCCTAACAGGCCAGAAGCCATGTGCATGCCCAAGGCTGTGCCCTCTCAAGACTGATTAGAGAGGAAACTTCCAAACTACTAGGCTCTGGCTACTCTTGGGACAAAACATAAACTGTCCAAGTTTTAATAATAGCCCCAAGCCACATAAACACTGAACAGTAAAGGGTAAAAAATTGGCTGAGGGAACTTAAGCACATCTGTTGACCAATAAGTGGCTTATGCAAACCTAGGGGTGACTCCTAAGGAGCCAGATTAAAGTAAAAATAAGGGAAAATAAAAACACTCTGAACAGAGACATCAGAATTTGTACATGGTTGGAGAAATAGACTTCACAGAGTTAATACAACCAAGTCATTAAACAAATAAAGGACAAAAGAACAGAAACATTATCACCCTCCAGTGGGTTGGGGAGAGGAATGAAGAAGAATTATTATCCAGAGTTGCTGGATCTTCAGTTTTCAGGGAAGAAAAAAATAATAATAATAAAATAATAATAAAAAAAAATAAAAAAAATATATATATATATAATAAAACATGAAAATAAACAAGAAAGCATAACTCATACATAGGAAAAAAACAGGCAATAGAAATTGCCTTTGGGGAGCCCAGCTATAGGACATGTCAGACAAAGACTTTGAAGTAGCGGTTACATTATGTTCAAGGGACTAAAAGAACCCATACTTAAAGAAAGGCATGATGACAATGACAATGCCTCACCAAATAGGGAATATCAATAAAGAGAGAGAAATTATAAAAATGAACCAAATAAATATTCTAGAGTTGAAAAGAATAATAACTGAAAAAAAAATTAAGTGGAGGGGCTCAATGGTATATCTGAGTTTGCAGAAGAAATAATCAATGAACTCAATGATAGATTGATACAGGTTATACAATTTGAAGAACAGAGGAGGAGGGAAAGGAAGACAAGTGAGCAGAGCCTGAGAGAATTGTGGGAGACCATTCAGTGCACCAAAATACTCATAATGGAAGGACCAGAAGGAGAAAAGAACAAAAATGTGAGGGGGGGGAAGCAGAAAAGTATTCATATAAATAATAGCTGAAAATTCACAAATTAATGAAAAACATTAACCTGCACATCCATGAAGCTCAACACCTCCAAGAAGGATAAAAGCAAAGAGATTCACACCTAGCTACATCAGAGTCAAAATGCTGAAAAACAAAAATAAAGAGAAAATTTTGAAATCAGTAAGAGCAAAATGACTCATCAAATACAAGGAAATCCCAATAACATTTATAACTGACTTCTCATCAGAGACAATGGAGGATAGAAGACAGTGATGAAAAATTCAGTGTTAAAAGTAAAAAACTGTCAACCAAGAATCTGATATCCAGCAAAACTATGTTTCAAAAATGAAGACTAAATAAAGAAATAAAGATAGAAGAAGCTTAGAGAATTTTCTGCTATCAGACCTGCTTTGATTTAAAAACAAGAAACAAGTGAAAGGGAGATCTTCAGGTTGAAAGCAAGTGACATCAAACAGTAACTGGGATCTTGGGATCCCTATTCTCACAAAAATAAAAGCAATTATAAGGGAATACTATAAATAACTGTATGCCAACAAATTACATAACTTAGATAAAATGAATAAATTCCTAGAAAGACACAAACTACTAAAACTGACTTAAGAAGAAATGAAAAATCTGAACAAAGAAAGATATTGAATTAATAATGAACAATATTCCCACAAAGAAAAGCCCAGGACCAGATGGCTTTACTGATGCAGTCTACCAAAAACATAAAGAATTAATACCAATCTTTCACAAACTTTTCCAAAGAAAAAAAAGACAAGGTAATAGTTTCTGACTGATTCTTTGAAGCCAGAATTATCATCATGCCAAATCAAAGACATCACAAAAAAGTAAAACAATAGACCAATATCCCTTATGAATATAGGTGTAAAACTACTCAACAAAATACTAGCAAACTGAATTCAGTAACATATAAAAAAGATTATACACCATAACCAAGTGGGATTTATACCAGAAATACAAGTTTGATTTAACATCTGAAAATCAATTAATATAATATACCCAATTCAATGGGGGAAGAATAGTCTTTTCAACAGGTGATGTTGAGACACATGCAAAAAAAAAAATATATGAAGCTAGATTCCTACCTCACACTATACACCAAAAATTAATTCAAAGACCTAAATGTAAGAGCTAAAACTATAAAACTCTTAGAATACAATATAGGAATAAATCTTTGTGACCTTGCTTTAGGCAATAGTTTCTTAGCTATCACACCAAAAGCACAAGCAACAAAAGAAAATTTACATACATTGTACTAAGCTGAAATTAAAGACTCATCTGCAGTAAATATTACCATCAAGAAAATGAAAAGTCAAACCATGCAATGGGAGACATTAGTAAACTATACATCTGATAAGGGATGTGTATCCAGAACACATGAAGAGCTTTTACAACTCTATAATAAAAATTCAAATAGCCCATAATAATAAAAATTGGGCAAAGGATTTGAATACACACTTTTCCAAAAAAGATATACAAATAAGAATATGAAAGGACGCGCAACATCCTTTAGTCATTAGGGAAATGCAAATCAAAACCACAATAAGATATCACTTCACACCTAGTAGGACAACTATAACTGAAAGACTGATAATAACTAGTGTTGGCAAGCACATGTAAAAATTTAGAATACATGAGTGAAAATGTGAAATGGTACAGACACTTTGGAAAACAGTTTGGCAGTACCTCGAGAAGTTAAACATTGAGTTATCATACAATCCAGCAATTCTACCCTTTGGCATATACACAAGAGAAATGAAAATACATGTCCATACAAAAATATGCATGAATGTTTATAGCAGCATTAGTCATAAAAAGCCAAAAGGTCGAAAGAACCAAATGTCTCTCAACTGATGAATGGATAAATAAAATGTGGTATATCCATAAAATGGAATATTATTCAGCAATAAAAATGAGTTAAGTACTGATACATGCTACAACATGGATAAACCTGGAAAACATTATGCTACATGAAAGAAGCCAGCCACAAAAAAGCACATAGTATATTATTCCATTAAAGTGAAATACCCAGAATAGGGAAATCCATAAAGACAGAAAGCAAATTAGTGTTTGCCTAGGGCTTAGGAGGGAGCTAGGGGAGGTAACTGCTAATGAGTACAGGTTTCTTTGGGGGCTGATGAAAATGGTCTACAATTATATTGTGGCAGTGATTGCACAACTCTGAATTGTATATTTTAAATAGGCGGATATTATGGTATGTGAATTGTATCTCAATAAAGATATTTTTTAAAAAACTGATTGTTTATTTCTCTAGTGGGTCTTTCTCTTGGCATTAGAGAAATGTTTCTAAAAATATTAGAAGGTCAACTAGTCTCTATAAACCAGTTCTTCTGCCATAGGAAAACAGTACATGAATACATTCAAGACTGACTGGTAGCTCACTGCTAACTGGTTATATATCTCTGTTCTACGCATTTATATCATGTAATGAAGCTGAGCCCGCATGCTGACAAGTAAAAATAGAATTCTGCCCTAGATAATTCCTGGCATTAGAGGTCTCAAGTTCTGTAAAAAAATAATTAACTCAATTTAAGTCAAGGCTCTGTTCCCTATTTCATTAATTCTAAGGAAGTCTGCACAGTGAGGTCACTTGGAAGAAAGTCATAGGTTTTCTATCATATTAACATATATCTCAATTTTCTACAGAATAATACTAATGTTACAATAGATAGAAATTATCAAGTGATAGGGCTGATAAGTATCATGGACTAATAGCTGTACATTCTTCATTTCAAAAGTGACCCTACACAATCAGCTTTCTTTAAGAAAATAAACAGAAGATAGTGTGAGAAGGAAAAAGAGTGTAACAGTAGATAACTCATTAAGCCAATGAAATGGGAAATAATTAATTTTCCTTTTTATCATCCAAATTATAACATGAATCATGCATGCCATAATAAATTATGTCATATGACATTAGTTTTATAAAGTACACAGCAAATTGACTTAAAAAAGACAAACGGTACCTTCTGGAGGCGTCCCAATGCTGCTGCCAAGACCCAAAATAGCCATCTTGTGCATTCTCGGCTCCAGCATCACAGCAGATTCTTCTCCCCTTTCCCAGTGGGGTATTTTGACTGGCTCCAGGTGAACATTCTCCAGCCCGTCTTGCTTCAGGCTTTGGTACATGATTTGGATAGCTTTTTCTAGGCTCTTGGTGCCACTTAATCTGGGTCCAACAGTATCAACCAGAAGTGCCAGTCGCTCATAGGATCTGTTCTGGGCTTTACCATAAACAGCAAGGTTTATGATTGCTTTAGCAACATCTCCATAGTGGGCTATTTCTTCTTTTATTTCTTGAAAAGTCCTCTGAGAGATGTCATTCCTGTATATAGATTTGCCAGAGTTGAGAGATAAAAGGTGAACACCAACAAATGTAAAGAGAAGGAACTTCATTTTGTTTCCAGTTCGTTTTCTTCCTGAGATAATCTCTGTAAAGAAGAAACATGTTTTAGGGAAGACTCTCACAGCTATCTGCCCATAACCCAGGGATTCGTCTTCAACCAGGATTCCCCTTCCCTTCTTACCCATTACCTAACTGAAAATGGAAACAAACAAAAAGCTGGAATAGCAATACTTATACCAGACAAAATAGACTTTAAAACAAAGGCTATAACAAGAAACAAAAAGGACCCAGTAATCCCACTTTTGAGTATTTATCAAAAAAAAAAAAAACTAACATGCTAATTCGAGAGGACGTGTGCATCCTTATGTTCATTGTAGCACTGTTTCCAATGGCCTAGGTGGGCAGACAGCTTGGGTGTCCACCGATAGATGAACGGATAAAGAGGAGCTGCTACGTATATACAATGGAATATTGCTCAGCCATGGGAGGGAATGGATGGACCTGGAAGGTACTATGCTGAGTGGAGTATGTCAGAGAGAAAAGGACACACGCAATGTGATTTCACTTATATGTAGAATCTAAAGAACAAAATAAACAAACAAAACAGGAACAAATTCATAGATACAGAGAACAGTTTATGGTTGCCAGATGGGAGGGCGGTTGGAGGTGTGTGTGAAAAAGGAGAGGGGAATAAAATACAAATCGGTTGTTATACAGTAGTTAGGAGGATGGGGGGTATAACATAAGTACTATAGTCAATAATGTTGTAATAACTATGTATGGTGTCAGATGGGTATTAGATTTGTTGGAGTGCTAGATGGGAGGGATATGGGTGGCAGAGTGAAAAAGGTGAAGGGATTAAGAAGTCCAAATTGGTAGCTACAAAATAGTCATGGGGATGTAAAGCAAAGCACAGGAACGGTCGTCAATGATATGGTAATAACTATGTATAGTGCCAGGTGGGTACTAGACTAGTCAGGGAGATCACTTCTTTAATGATATAAATGTCTAACTGCTATGTTGTATACCTGAAATTAATATAAAATACTGAACATCAACTGTAATTGAAAAGTTAAAAATGGAGGAGGGAAGGTGAAGGGGCATTAGAGGTTCAAAAATATGGCTCCAACAACTGTTTCAATATCATCTCTTTATCTATCCCTATAGAATACATGCATTCTTATTCATATTCTCTTTCTTTCTCTTTCTCTCTCTCTCTCTCTCCCTCTCTCTCTCTCCCACACACACACACACACACTCCTGACTTCTAGATACCAATCACTTGAAATGTGGCTAGTTCAAATTGAGATGTTCTGTAAGTGTAAAATATCTGATTTGATCTTTCATATCAAATACGTCATATTTAAGTATGAAAAACAACATATTTCAAATGTATTGAATTAAATCAAATATATTATTTTGAATTTCACCTGTTTCTGTTTAGTTTTTAATATGGCTATTAGAAAGTTTTAACTTACGAATTTATACTTATATTGGACAGTAATGCTTTAGGTGTACCAAACTTGACACCATTATTCAGATACCCAGGCTCTTTCATAACTCTGAGTCTCTACATATGTTCACTTTCTTTTACTGCAAAGCCCTTCTGTTATCCTATTTCTCTTCTTCTGGCAAATCTCTCCACTCCTTCTTTAATGAGAATGCTTAAAAATCAACTTTTCTGATGGAGCCTCATCAACCCCCAAAGTTCTGTGCATCATTGTCTGTGTTTCTACCATAACTAATAATATTATCAACTAATATATTTGTTTATAAATCTGTATCTCCAACTCCCAAATACAGTAAATTATCATTTACCTTCCATCATTGTACCCATATACAGGCACTTAACATATATTTAAAGAGTGAACGAGCCTTTAATCTCTATGTCTTAGCTTACGGTATGAGAATACTTGTCTTGCCTCCTTCACAAAAAGCTTTAGGAACAAAGACCTGCTACCATATTTAAATATCTTTTAATTATGAAAACTATACATTGCTGCTGCTTTCCTTTTCATTATATCTATATACATGCATCAGTTCTTGGTTCCTACAGTCACCATAATAATGCTTATTTTTTGAAGCCGAATTTTATTATGCAATCAAAATATTTCACAAGACTGCAATTTATCCTTTAAAGTACATTTTTCCAATGTACTGTTGGGACACACAAAAAGTGAATAAGCCATCTATTAATTAAAACCACAAGTATCTACTTCTCATTAAAAATTCTCTAAACATTCTGCAAACATTCATTAATGATTTCACAATACATGTGTAGTGATAGATTAGAATCACACAACGACAGCATTGTGGAGGTATAAGAGAGCTTAGGGATCCCAGTCCATACCCTTGTTTTTTAGACATTTAATCAAGGCCTTTGTTGTGATTCCCAGGCAGCAGATAAACCAGCAACTACAATCAACCAGGTAACTGGAGCAACTAGCACAGACTTCCTTGAGGATTAAGAGTAGATAAATGTTGTGTCTTCTTCCTTTCATGAATACATGAAGTTTACAACTAAATTATTAAACAATCAACCCTGGATAACCATCTGAAGTTTAGATGAACATAAGTTTTATAACTAAGGATATAAAGGAGAAGGTATATTGAGACTGGTAAGAGAGGCAGAGATGCAGAACGAGCCGGCTCCAAACCTGCGTGTGGCAATTGAGAATTGGGAGGGATATCTCGGCTGCAGAGGTTCCCCCTGGAGGAGCGAGGAAGCCCAGCCCCACATCAGGTTCTCCAGCCCAGGGTACTGGTGCTGGGAAGAGGAACGACCACAATTACCTGGCTGTGAAAAACACTGGGGATTCCGACCACATGGGTGGGACTTGCAGGGCTATGGGGAACCTGGAAATCCTCTTAAACAGCCTGCACATAGACTCACTCACTGGCAGGTACTCACCTTGGGCTCTGGAAAAGGGATGGTGACTAGAGGGGCATCAGAGACATATGGGGGGAGATTGAAATGTGTGGCTTCAGGTGAGGACTGGAGGACAGTCGCCATTTTCCCTGGGTGGGGACCTCCTTCAGAGCAGCCCCCAGGTGGGTGCCATTTTTCTTGTGTTAAGGCCATCCCCAATGCCCATGGCCAAATGTGAATCTGAATTTGTCTGGTGAGTTCCACTGCTCTATCCTGGGCACTGCCTTCCTGGGACCCAACCCTACCCAACTCCCCCAACACCAGAGGCACTTTCTCAGAGAGCAACCAGCCCCACCTGCATGGCACTCTTTCTTTGAAAACAATCAGAGTCCACTGGCCCTAGGCAGATGATGACTGGCCTCAGTATGCTCTGAGACTTTATCTGAGTAGCTCCAGGCTCAGCATTGGCACCAAACCAAAATCTACATTAATGTGGTGAACACAACTTGTCCCACTCTGATGACTCACTGAGACCCCGCCTCACAAAACCTGTGTACCACACAAGGCTTTATCAGCAGCTGAATCTAAAAAGAGACGGAAAGTGGCAGCAGGCCTTGGGGTGTCCTGGCTTTTTGCAGAGCTACCCCAGGCCTAGTACTGGTGGCAGCCCTCTTCAGTTTGCAGCATGGCCTCTCCAAAGTGCCTCCAGGTCCAGCACAGGGAGTGACCAACCACAGGTTGCACTGCTCCTACCAGGTTGTCCCCAGCCAGGCACAGGCAGTGGGTAACCTGGCCGTGGACCAGAGCCCTTCCCAAGAAGCCCCAGCACCAACATACTTAGAGGTTGGCTTCAGACCACAGCAGAGTACCACCCAATTAGCCACA